CAATACTTTTTCCCTGTGCCATTCCACATTATTACAAATAATTTCATTTCTGGACATTTATGTTTGATTTCTTTGTATGTATGGATCACTTGTGTTGTTACCGACATCTGGTGAAAATTTCATATCATTAGCACCTCTAGTAATATATTTACTCAGAAAAATGGTGACGTGTTCAATACTTATTTTACCCGCTGTATATCCAAACTATCTGGACTGTCAGTACAGTTTTTTTGGCCAAAGCAGAGAAGATCTAATATTAGACGAACAAGAAAAGTTTTGAGGAAGAAATTTGCAATAAATGGACCTAGAAATATAGACTTCAAGCCCTTAATTTAAAGGACTTCAGTAAAGAAGTGAAACCCCACATCTAGGCTGGTGAATACTGACGTCTGCGGTGAACATACTGTAGTTGAAGGACAAACTCAGAAAATGAACCGGTTGTGCTCAGATGTGTTGTACATGTGAGGGCGGCACATCAATAAAAGTCCTTCACCTCTGCTTTACGGTTTATCATGGAATTAGATCTACTGATGAATTCATGTTGAGTGAGTATTTTAGTGCTGCGGCTGCCTGTAACATAATTTATTTCAGTTTATTGTGTGTTGTCAGAGCAGTGAAGTAAAGCTGTCACATAAATCCAGCACAGAAAACAGTGCCGTGTATTTACAGTCTCTCTGGGTTTGTTCATATGAAAGCTGGTTGTTTTAGGACTTATTCTTGTTTTTTTCAAGGGTAAACTGAAAGAAAAGTCAGAGTGTTTCTGTGTTTGCTGCAGGTGGTCATTTGGTGTCCTGCTTTGGGAGATTTTTACTCTCGGGGGCTCTCCGTACCCCGGTGTTCCTGTGGAGGAACTCTTCAAGCTGCTAAAAGAGGGACATCGTATGGAAAAGCCCCCCGCATGCACGCAGGAGATGTGAGTAGATCCTCGGTCGTCTGCAGAAGTACTTTTATTGAAGGTACTGATCAAGTAAAACTGTGTTTCTTCAGGTATCTGATGATGAGGGACTGCTGGCATGCGGTGCCTTCCCGCAGGCCGACCTTTCAGCAGCTGGTAGAAGATTTAGACCGAACACTTTCTCTATTGGCCAATCAGGTAACATAGCAATAACGTCATTTCTACTTGACTTGTTTTCAGCAGAAAAAATATGCTCAGAAATGTTCAAATTTCCTGCAATGCTCCCTCTAACTTCTCTTTAACGTTTATACTTTTAAAATATCACAAGTTTAACTTAAACAGATAAATACATTTTTAGAATGTCCTGATGCATCTCAGTAATCCAGGTAAAAAATCAAAGGAAAAAAATTGTATAGGTCCTCTGGACGGGTTCTTCTTTAATGAAACGTTTCGTCTCTCTTCCAAGAGACTTCTTCAGTCTGAGAGTTTCAGGCATTTTGAGAGTTTTCACTCATTTACAGGCCAGCGGTCACTCTTTCAGAGATGAGGATGTTCTCATTCTTGATAGGGAGGAAC